TGGTAAAAAATGAAATGTTTTCTCTCCGTAAGATCAGGAATAAGACAGGTATGTCTGCTCTTACCACTTCTGTTGAACATTGCACTGGAGGTTCTTGCCAGTGCAATCAGGAAGAAAAATGAATAAAAGGCATCCATGTTGGAAGGGAAGAAGTAAAGCTGTCTTGAGTCACAAGCAACATAATCATCTGTGTAGAAAATCTGATAGAATCTACAATAAAAGCTACTATAGTTTGCAAAGTTGTAGGATACAAGATCAATATACACACATTAATAATATATTCTAGCAACAAAAAGTATAGAATTGAAATTTGAAAACCAGTACCATAGCATAAAAAAAATGAAATATTTAGGAATAAATCTTGCAAAAGATGTAAAAGATAGATACACTGAAACATACAAAACATTACTCAGAGAAACCAGAGAAAATTTGATGGAGAGAAATGGAGAGATACATCTTGTCATTTCAAAGACTCCGTATTATTAAGATGACATTTCTACTCAAATTTATTTACGGATTTTATACAATCCCATTCGAAATTTCTGGAGTGTTTTTTTTTTTTTGTAGAAATTCACAAACTGGTTCTAAAATTCATATGGAAATGCAAAGGACCTAGAATAGCCAAACAACCCTGAAAAAGAAAAACTGGAGGGTTAATACTGCCTGATTTTAAGAATTATATATAGCTATAATAATCAAAACAATAAGGCTGGCCAGTTAGCTCAGTTAGTTACAGTGCAGCCTTATAACACCACGGTCAAGGGTTTGGATCCCCTTACTGGCCAGTCACCAAAAAAAAAAAAAAAAAAAAAAGGAAAAGAAAAGAAAATGTACAAAACATCATGATGTTGGCATCAAGATAGGGAAATACATCAGTGGAACGAATGGAGCCCAGAAATAAACCCATGCACATATGGACATCTGAGTTTTGACAAAGGCATGAAGGCAATATGGTGGAGAGCAATTGGATATCCATATGTCACAACATGTTATTGAGTATATTTTTTTTTTAAGAGTGTTGAATTTTGTTTTGGCTAGCAAGTTACTTGAAGATTAACTTAATCTTTTCAACACTTTTTAAAAAACCTTGTTAGGGAGGTCCAGTATAGCCTTTACTTTACAACTAGTTTAACCCTGCTACTAAGACTTGACCCTTCAGAGGTCTCCTAAATATGCTGGTTGTTCAACAAGGTCTCTCTACCGAGACTGGTGGGAATGTGAATGCCTCCCAGCCCTGTATGAGCTCTGGCAATTGTCAATTTACAGTTTCTCAGTAGTTGTTCTTGCCCAGCCTTGTGGAAACTCACCCTTATACAGGAGCCAGCTTAGTGTTCAGATAACAGCTCAAGGATCCCCTTATATAGATTTCTGGTGCTTTTTCTCTATTCTCTCATCCCTGGCACCCTGCCCTGCAAATTCTAGCCACCCCAGGCTCCCCAAACTCTAATCTGTGTCTCCTCAAGTTAGCAGAATCACCTTGCTCTGCTTGGTCCCTTCTCATCCCTGGCACCCTGCCCTGCAAATTCTAGCCACCCCAGACTCCCCAAACTCTAATCTGTGTCTCCTCAAGTTAGCAGAATCACCTTGCTCTGCTTGGTCCCCCCACTACCTCTTGTGCTGTACTCTGGAAAGTACCTCCAGACAAGAAGCCAGGTAATTAAGGCTCACTTCATTTGTTTCTCTTCACTCAAGGGGTCACAGATCTGAACTGCCTCTTTGAAAATAGGACCCACCCCCAAATATATTTTGTTTAGTTTTCTAGTTGTTTACAGTGAGAGTGCAAGTCACAGCAGTTAGTCATGAGTGCAAGTGAATGTCTTCCACAACTTAGTTTTCATTACATTTTTTTCCTTGTTTCTTAATTTGTTATTTTTTAATAAATTACATAATTATAATAGCAAGTATAGCTGGCATAGACAGATTTGGAAGTAAAGACTACTTATTCTTGATATGTATACAATTTATCTGGTAGGAGAAGAATGCTTTGTAGTTTGGGTTACAGGAAGGTAAGTTCAAATGTTCAGCAACTTGGTTTGTTTTACTGTGGGACTAAATGGAGTCAAATAAAAGGCAAAGCTGTTAAATTATGGTCTATTAATAAAGCTGCTACAATACACAGTTATCTTTGTGAGGTTTTAGGATGGGACAGGTTAACTAGATCAAAATTGGAAAAGTTGTTATCAAAGCTATCCCAAAATTCAGGAAATCCAAATGAGTGTTACTCCCAAAATTGACATTATTTGGGGCATCTAAATGAGGAATTTCAATATTTCAGTGGAGAATTAATACTTCGTAGGCGTCATCTACAAAATTATTTTAATTGTGCATTTCCTGGCTAGGGAAATCAAAGCTATTGCACAGATCGAGGCCATGGTTCTTTATTTAGTTTTATGACAATTATTTTTAGCAAAGAAAGAAAATTTAGCATTCCTTTTTTGGGTCTTGCTAGGGTTAGTGTTTGTATCTTCTTTTTATGTCTCTGAGATTTTCTCCTCATGGTTTTATAAGACATTTGGTATTATAATATTTTATTAGGTTTGATAATATATGATTTTAGATTGAAATAATCCTTTTCACTAGAATTTTTAAGAAAATAGTCTGTTAGCCTCCTATATGCACCTTTCATAGGGTTTCAATCAACATACACTGCTTCTTATGATTTATAATTTACAACAAACATTTTTAAACATTTTTAAATGACATTTGTCTCTTTCCCCTTTTTGTATGTAGATAACATTATATTATAGTTAGGTTAATGGATGTAATACTCTTTCAATGATATAATGTACCAGAGTGTTGACTGGATTTATCCTGTTACCTATATTCCTCCTGATTTTCAAATAAGGATTTTCTTCTTTTCTTCATTCTCTCATTTCAGAAAAAATGAAGATGAATAAAATATCTCTTTCTAGCATTAACCGGAGAAACAGTTTTGGAGAGAACTTACTGTATAAGGCTGCTCTGTACAATGATGCTGATCTTGTTCATCATTGTATAAAAAAAGGTGGAAATGTTAATCAGCTAAGTTATGCTGGTAAGTTAGGGTTACCACCCATGGTTATCTTGAGAGTGGTGTGTAGTTTCAGCTTAATCAGTCCCATGAAAGTATAGCAAAGTTGGCCTAAGGCAAGTCTCAAACAAAGCTTTCAGGTAATTTTCCTGCTTAAGTAGCTCTTCATTATTATCTCCAGAGAAGAGGGCAAGGTGAGGGGGGTGAATGGCAGAAGAGCATTATATTTCTCCGTTAAAGATTATGCCAGTTGGACCATGTGCAGTGGCATCACACAGAAGGATAGTTCCTGGGGCTGGCTTTATGTGGTCATTGTTACTATGCGATTCAACCTTGAATGGAGGAGAGATGAGGTCAAAAGTTGCAAGATGATGATACGGTGAGCTACAGGGGAAAATTCATGGTAAAATGCTCTCTGTCTACCCACTGAGTTCAGGAGTAGCTCTACATACACCCAACTTTGACTTTATGGATTTCCCAAGAATATCTTAACATTTCTTTTCATTAGCCTTTTTTTTCTCCCATGCCAGTGTTAACATCTTCAGTGACTATTCCTTGGGTGTCTTCATTCAATTAATATACAACTTTTCCTCATTGCCTCAGGCACTTTTGTGACCTTCATGAATTCTTCATCCTTACCGTATTTACCAGGCTTTTTGAACTCTCTTGTTCTCTACTTTTCCTTCTCGTTTTGCATCTTAGTTCTATCTTTATTTTTGGCTGCCAGTGCCACAGAATTACAGAGAGCAGTGTTTCCACAGTGTTGTCTGCAAACCATTTTCATCAGGATTACCTGCAATGTTTGTTTAAGATGCAACCATCGCTTCAGTATCCAAAACACATGCACACACATGCGTGCACACACACACACACACAATCAAAATGTGTAGGTTAAAACCTGGAAATCTATTTTAACAAATACCCCCAGGTGAATTTATTCTCACTAAAGTTCACAAGTACTGGCAAGATGTGTATGACCTCCATGTAACATGTATCAGTTCAATGTAGCAAGCTTTGACAGCATGCACCCTATGTGTCAGATGCTGTGAAAGAAAAAGATTAATAATTTTTACTATGAAGGCTTAAATATATTTGTTTTATGATATAATCTAAATTTTAAAAAGCTAAGAGCCATGTGAGAATTGAACAAAATATTGTAATAATAGACCAATGGTCTTTTCATAGGTAACATTTTCATTTTATAAGTTCTTATTTATATTTTATGATATCCTTATCTTTGATTAAAAAACCAATTGCAATAATTCTTTACCTATCAAAAAACAAAGGTGACGATCAGGAAATAGGCTGAAAAAAATTCTGAATACTCAAAATAGGTCTCATAAAGCCTTTTTACTAAAACCTTCTCAGGCTAATGCCTTGAGCTTTATTTTACACAGAATTCTATCTGATACCTATGCTTATAATACATTAGAACTGAAAAGAGGTTGGCACAGGCCACGATATTGATAATGGCAAGAAGTTTAAGGCAATTACAAGATGAAAAACAGATAATATAAAAAATGGGAGGCAAAATTGTTGAGGACTAAGGAATGTAGAAGAGAGTGCACTTAATGCCTCTGTGTTAATTGCCGCAGTAGAGCAATAATGAATACTATGATCTCGAAACTTTTTAAAACTTAATTTAATTTTTTACATTGACAGACTAAATTGTATGTATTTTCCATGTAGAATATGATGTTTTAAAGTATATGTAAATTGCGGAATGTTTAAATCTAGCTAATTAAATGCATTTAAATGCATTAAATAGCTAATTAATTATATGCATTACCTCACATAGTTATCATTTTTTATGGTGAGAACACTTTCCATCCACTCTCTGAGCATATTTTAAGAATACAATATATTATTAACTATAGTCACCATATTATACAATAGATGTCTTGAACTTACTCCTCCTATCTAACTATATCCTTTGACCAATATCTCCTCAGCCCTACTCCCCCCAAACCACCCCACCTCCTGGTAACCACCACTCCACTCTCTGCTTCTATGTTATCAACTTTTTTTAGATCCACATGTGAGGGAGATTGTGTGGTATTTGTCTTTCTGTGCCTGGCTTATTTCACTTAACACGATGTCCTCCAGGTTCATCCATGTTATTACAAGTGATAGGATTTCATTCTTTTTATGGCTGAATAGTATTCCATTGTGTATATATATTACATTTTCTTTATCCATTCACCCACTGATGGATACCTAGGTTGAGTCCATATCTCAGCTATTGTGAATAGTGCTGCAGTAAATGTGGGGGTACAGATATCTCTTCAATATGCTAATTTCCTTTCCTTTGGATAAATACCCAGGAGTGGGATTGCTGGGTCATATGGTAGTTCTACTGTTAATTTTTTGAGGAACCTCTGTACTGTATTCCTAATAGGTGTACTAATTCACAGTCCTACCAACAGTGTACAAGAGTTCCTTTTTCTCCATATTTTCACCAACCCCTATCTTTTGTCTTTTTGATTATAGCCGTTCTAACAGGTGTAAGGTGATATCTCATTGTGGTTTTAATTTGCATGTCCCTGAAAATTAGTGATGTTGGGCATTTTTTCTTATACCTTTTGGCCATTTGCATATCTTCTTTTGAGAAATGCCTATTCAGGTCCTTTATCCATTTCTTAATTGTGATTTGTTTTCTTGCTATTGAGTTCTTTAGTCTTTTTAAAAATGTATTAAATTATATTCTCTTCGCAGTAAATTTATAATTTATTCACTTTTAAGACATAAATTTTTAAAAAGTTGCTTAAGGGGCCGGCCCAGTGGCGCACTAGGTAGAGTGCGGCGCTTGGGAGCGTGGCAGCACTCCCGCCAAGCGTTCGGATCCCATATAGAGACCGGTCTGCTCACTGGTTGAGCGCAGTGCGGGCGCGACACCGAGGGTTGCGATCCCGTGACCAGTTACGAAAAAAGACAAAAAAGGAAAAAAAAAAAAAAGTTGCTTAAGGATCTCCCAACTTGCAGATTTGGGAGATGATAAAAGATATGTAATATGTATTTCAACTTTGGCCCCAACCCATGCTGAGATGAGCCCAGCATCAGAACCACGCAGCTAGAGGTGGCCCTTCCCCACTCCTTGGACCCAGGAAGGGAGCGCCAGCCAGCTTGCCCCAACCTATGCCAAGGTGAGTCCAGCAGCAGAACCACATGGCTAGAAGTGGCCCCTCCCTCCTCCCTGGACCTGGAGGGCAGCACCAGCCCATGGAGTCTGACCCACCAAGGTGAGCCCAGCAGAACCACATGGCTCTAGGGGCTCGTTCTACAACCACAGATTCTGGAACAGGACCCAAGGTGGTTTAGCATAACCACCACAACATCTACTGTCAAGCAAAAATAATTCACCACCACAGTAGCAACCAGAGCCTCTTCACAGCCAACCTCAGTGTAATAGAAGAAGCAAACCCTCTATGAAATGACCAAACATCAACAAAAAAATACTAGAAGTACAAACAAACAAGAAGAAATGACACCACCAAAAGAATGCAGTAGCTCTCCAAAGTCAGACTCCGTGGAACAGGGAATCCTTGAAATGTCTGAAAAAGAATTTCAAGCAATGATTTTAAGAAAGCTGGAAGAAATAAAGGAAGACTCAATTAGAGAACACAATGAAACAAGAAAAAAATCCAGAATATGAAGGAGGAAATCTACAAAGAGATTAATACCTTTAAAAAGAGTGTAGCAGAACTTCTAGAAATGAAAGATTCACTCAATGAAATTAAAAACACAGCTGAGAGCTTGAACAGCAGGCTAGAGCAAGCAGAAGAAAGAATTTCAGAGCTAGAAGATGGTCTTTTTGAAATAATTCAGGCAGACAAAAAAGAGGAAAAAAGAATTAAAATAATGAGGAAAATCTAAGAGAGAGAGCAGACAACATGAAGCACTCTAACATCTGAATCATGGGTATTCCTGAAGGGGAGGAAAGAGGAAAAGGTATTGAAAACCTATTCAAGGGGCTGGCCCGGTGGCGCACTGGAGAGTGCGCCACTTGGGAGCACGGTGGCGCTCCCGCCGAGGGTTCGGATCCCATGTGGAGACCGGTTCCTGCTCACTGGCTGAGCGCGGTGCGGGCGCGACACCAAGGGTTGCGATCCCGTTACCGGTCCCTGGTGCGGGCGCGACACCGAGGGTTGTGATCCCGTTACCGGTCAGTAAAAAAGACAAAAAGGAAAAAAAAAAACCTATTCAAGGGAGTAGTGAGAGAAAACTTCCCAGGTGTAGAGCAAGATACAGACCTTCAGATCCAGGAAGCTCAAAGGTCCCCAAACAGATTCAATTTGAAAAGATCCTCCCCAAGACACATTATAGTTAAATTTGCAAAGCTTAAAGACAAAGAGAATTCTACAAGCAGCAAGAGAAAAGCATCAGATCACTTATGGGGAACCCCCATCAAACTAACAGTAGACTTCTCAGCTGAAACCCTACAGACCAGAAGAAAGTGGAATGATATATTCAAAATACTAAAAGAAAAAAGTTGCCAGCCAAGAATTCTTTACCCAGCCAGGGTCTCCTTCAGAAAGGAGGGAAAAATAGTGTATTTCCCAGACAAACAAAATTTGTGGGAATTCACCACCACATGACCAGACCTGCAAGAAATTCTCAAGGGAGTCATTCATCTGGAATCTGAGTAATGGTGACCACTATCACAAATACACAAGAAAGAGCAAAACCCACCATTAAAACAAAAATGCCAGCAAGAAAAAGAATGAACCTAATTCATCCCACCTTAAATTTGCAGTTAACATTGAAGAAGAGAAATAAAAAGGGAAATAATGATCAAAAGATATTTAAACCATCTAAACAAGAAGCAATTAAATGACAGGAATTAAGTAACACTTGTCAATAACTACCCTATATGTGAATGGACTAAACTCCCCATTCAAAAGACAAAGACTGACTGATTGGATTAAAAAGCTAGGACCCCCCCCAAAAAAAGCTAGACCCAAGTATATGCTGTCTTCAAGAAACCCACCTCAAATGTAGAGACACACATAGAGTAAAAGTGAAGG